GAGAGAACCCACGCTGCACGGGGAGAACATGCAAACTCCACACAGAAAGATCCCGGGTGTCCTCACTGGGATGCGAACCGGTGACCTTCTTGCTGCGAGGCAATGGTGCTAACCACCGAGACACCTTGCAGCAGGTTCGAAGGTAGTTATTGTATTTAATTAAAAATTATAACACATAAAATACATTTTAAAAATCTATTATAACACAGCAAGTACTTTAAATGACGAAGTCATATGATGGAGGATTATAGATATTACCCAAATAATAGAAGAAAAATACCTTAATAAATATAATATAATTCGTATTAAAAAACAAAACAGGTTTTTGGATTTTAATATAATAAAATTTTTCTAGTACAGCTACATTCTAAAAGTTACTCTAAAATACCTAAATAATTGAACAGTTGACAGTCTTTTCTCAATAATATTTTTAGGATTTATTGAAAAGTGCACCAAAAAAGTTTTATTTGGCTTCATGCTCATCAGTAGTGCATCACTGAATCAGTAGCTCAGTTATATATAAAATATGTGTAAAAATTACTTTTACATCAATGTTTCTCTCAATGTTTCATAACTCATCTTGAAAATGAGGAAAGATTCAGTATTCCAATCAACCAAATATGGCAACAAACCTAAAATATCTCTCATGTTTCCTTAAAGGTCACTGTAAACAGTATTATAGGTCAGAAGTCTATATTTAAATGACACTTGATAAAATATGTTAGACATGTGTCTTTCCTGCCCGTCACACAACACTTCTCACTAGACTAGATGCAGCTTTACCAGGAAATGATGTCACTTAGGAGGAGACGCTGCTTCAACATCTACAAACTCTTTGGGTGCAACAAACAGCAGATTATAAAAGACTTGAAATGAATGTCAACAATGTGTAGGTGTGTAAGTGCAAATGCACCTGTCCAGGTGGCCCTACACAGTATATATACATATATTAGTGTCCAACCTTCACACATCTGCATTTTGCTCTGAGCGAGGGGGAATTGTTCCATGAAGTATGACACATCCACATGTTATTATCATCTAACAATTAAAACTCTGGATCATCACACACTGTTAGTAAGCTACTGTAGTTCTGTAAGAATGTGTGCTGTGGTAAAACATGATGAGATGTGCTGCTGTTACACACAACAACAAGGTTTTGAAGACATGAAGACATGAAAGTTCTAATGATATAAAATATAAAGATAAACATCTGTTCTGAACTTCAGACTAATTATCTCCAACGCTTCCTATAAGTACAAAGTGGCTTGTTTGTAAATCTAACTCACCATCCATGATGAAGAAGCAGTCAGTGCAGTTATTCAGGCTGGTGTCAGAAAATTCGTCCTCCGTTGTCCTCTCTTGCTGTGTGGCTCTAAAGTGGCTTTAAAGTCGTTTTGTGTCACTCTCTGTTGACTCGGCTGCTCTCCTTATCAAATATGACTTCAGACAGCTGATG